CGTGTGCATTGTTGCACACGTAAATAAATCCCTTGGCAGTTTGAAATTGAAAAGAGCGGCCTAACGGTGCTGCCCAGGCAAAATTTAAAGTTAAAAATTTACCCGAAGTATTTCAGGATCCTCGCTAAAGAGTCTGTGCACTTTGATGAGATTCTTCGGACTTGAGCTGGAAGAAGAAGGGAGCACTTATGGGTTACACCCGTGTGCCATGATGATCCATTGTTAAAACCTCAAACATATAAATAAAAAAAAATTACAGTATATTCCTTTTATTTTTCTAGGAAAAAATGCCCTGGGCAAATAACAGATATGCCCAACAGTAAATCACAGGATTATTAATTTATAATCCCTTAAGCTGCAGAACATTTGAACATACGTTTTCAGGTATTTAAGTAAGTTCTGTGACACCGAAGTTAGTGAAATGGTTTCAAAATGCAATCCTCAACGTTTACCAGCGTCCAATTTCCTGGCTGGCAGTTTGGAAAAAAGGGCTGTCCTCATGGTAATAAAACAAACAATATACTACACGGTAAACAGTTTCTGGACATCAACAGCATACAAAAAAACAAAAAAACCTGTGTATAATTTACTGATGTAAGTAAAGAGACCAAAAAGTAAATATTCATTTCCTTCTGCCCTATAAGGATTCGCTGTGGTGTAGCAACTAGAAGCTCGCCTGTGGATGGGAAGGTTGTGGGAATGGGTCCTAAAGGAGCAGGACTTTTTTCAAAATGACCTGGGACCCAGTTCAACTCAGCCTAGAATGGGTACCAACTATAGTACTGGGAAGTATTATTTTTTTAACCATTTTTAATTCCTAGAATATTCCCTGGTTTCCATTTAGGATGGTTTGACTTAATAGCCCATATCCATCTGTCTGGATGTGGATTCAAGCACAGAATAACTCATATGAAAGGCATTTATGACGGCTCACAACTTACTTATATCCACAACTGTTTAAGTAATTATAACAACACTTCATTAAAGCTGGTGTAGATAAAATGGAACAGTGACTTGCAACAAAACATTCACAGAGTGAGGACAAAAATGAATTTTCATATACTAAGGTGGATTCTGCAAGACAGCTCATAATGAGGTCTCAGAACCCACATTTGAAAGCATTATAATTACAATGAACTGAGATAGTTCTAAGACCCTAGAGAAATATTCAAACATTGAGATTAACGTATTCAGTGCAAGTCAACTAACCATGTGTATAATAATGACCTTTCATATGACACCCATTTCATAAGGTCTTCTGTCTGTTTATTCTTTTATGTGAATTCCTTGTTTCCTGATTGTTACTAACTCGCTAAGTGCTACTATTTTATTATTATAACTCAAACTGAAAGACTGTCACTTTGAAGCATATAAACTGTACTAGAGAAAGTCTAGGGTTGAAAAATGTAAACCTTTTCTTCTTTACTTCCTCTTTTACTGCTTCAGTTGTTGAGGGAAACATAAGGCGCCACTTCTTGCTCTTTTGGTCACCTCGACAAAAGACATACTGTTGCAGAGTTTCTCTGATGTTATCTTTTCATATTTTTCTTTCTCTACCTCATGCTCTACGACCCTCTCCTCATTTGGTTTTGGTGTATGCTTTGTATGACATGACATGACATGAAAAAGCTAAACATGGGGTTAAACATCAAACTTAGAATATATTTATATTAATTCAGGAATTAGTTAAAGAAACATGTGAAGTCAGACATAAGGTGAAAGTCACGATTTGGTTAACAAAGATAAAGGAAACAAAAAGGTAGGTAAATCTTGTGAAAGGTGAGAATACATCAACATAGATAAAGAAGTACAAGGGTTTGACAGAATAACAGTGTAGCTGGGCGGGACTTTACAAAACTCATAGGAAGTTTTAAGTGAAGTGACCCAGTGGGTAAACTACTCCAAATTTCAATACAATGATACTGCTCACAGCAGGATTTTTGTTATCCTATGTATAAAAATGATAGCAATGTATTCTGTTTAAACTTGCAGGGGGAAATATTCAAAGATGACATACCATATATCAATATAACTATACTGATAACTCTTGTATCAATGTCACCTTGTTTACATATTTGACAGCACTAGAGCATTTTTTCACATGAAGTTAGGTCACAGCCATTAGTCTTGCTTTTTCCATAAAAGAGTTCACGAGTATCTGGATAATCATCTCATCTCCCTTTTCGGTGCTCTTTCTCCCAACGACCTTAATGTTCAAGTTTTTTTCTGAATACTTTAAAAAAAAAAAAAAAAATTCAAGTTACCTCCCTTGGCGGTAACTTTTCGCTTCCACCTAACCCATCATACTTCACTGGGTGACTTCCTGTGCATTGTCAGACTCAGTGATGACAGTGAACAACAGCATTATGTTACTTAAGCTTGGATTAGATAGTTAGTTAGTTAATCAATAGATTATCCTCACTGCACATCAAACAACTCCACAAGCGCTCAGATCCCATCTTTAGTATATCCCTCAGCATGCGGGAACTGATAAAACCAGTTATGTGTTCGTTTACTATTCTTCTTTGGCTACCTGTATAGTATTCATGTTTGGCGACACCTCTTTTTTCCTCAAGTTCTCGTAGCCTTTTGAGTGTTGCTGATTCAATGTTGTCCTCTGAATCATCTCCTCATCCTGTCTCCTTGAGAGCACTGAGAATGTCAGCATAGTTGATTTTCTTGTACCTATTGTCGCTTAAAAGCTAACCCATTTTATGTGTTCATTGCTGTAACTGTATCACTGGTTATTTTGGCTATGCTGATGAAGGCTTTCTGGCTGAACCTTTGATTTGTTATTTGTGACTGTACTGCTGGGAAAACTTCTGGGTTCAACTTCTCATTTAGACTCCTGTTTTCATAACAACACTGATAAACCAGGAGTCGCTGTGGCGTAGTGTCTAGACCCTCACCTGTGTATCAGAAAGTGGTAGGTTTGCTCCCTGGCAGAGCTGGACATTTTACAAAAATGACCTTGGCTCCAAGGTCGACCCAGCCTTGAGTGGGTATCTGGTGCAGTCCCAGGAAGTAAAAGCGGCTGGCATGATAATGATCACATTACCCATCTTATGCCGATTGGTCTATAAAATATAGGTCCAGCCCTAAACGCCTAAAGGCATGTTAAAGGGCCCTTTACAATTTAAAAAAAAAAAAAAACTAGTACACCTATAGATTGACTGACTTAAAAAAAAAAAAATAACACACTATCAGTTTCAGTATAATGATTTTGATAACAATGTCAATGATATCTAAGTTTTTGTTAAATTTTTAGGTGCTAATTCTCTTCAGTAGCATACAAAACTTATTTTTGTTGGCTGCTTTGTTGTCATCCTGAAAAAAATTACCCATAATATATGAATATCACAAACAGTAATAAAGCAATGAATGTCTGCTCACATTCAAAACAAAGACTAGTTTATGTGAGTAAAACACATAGCACAATCACAATATACAATTTTAAAGTTAACACACAAAATATGACCACCATAAACATAATAAGTTTAAAGATAAAACTCAATAAATGAAGAAAAAATAAATTGCAATAAAGATAATTTTCAAGACAAAACTCTATAGATAAAAACACAAGTACAGAGAGGAATGTGAATCTAATATGCAGGGTTCCAGAGCATTACAAAAAATTATAACTACCAAATATACACAATACACAAAAAGAGATGTATTTTGTAAGTTTGTGTTTAAAGTTGCAGGAAGTAAGAAATCATCATCATCATCATCACTGTCCCATAACAGAGTGTATAGTTGGGTCACCAGTTACTATTGATTGTTCGTTCTTTCTACCTCTTTTGGTCAGTTTGTAATGGACTTCATGTCTTCACGTTTGAGGCCTGTCCAGTCAGCCAAGTTCTGTATCCAGCTCTTTCCTGGTCTGTCTCTTCCCTTCTACTGAGGCCTGCAGTACTGTTTTCAAGAGGCCGGAAGATCTTATTTCACGTCAGCACCATTGCATTTTCTGTCTTTTCACTATAGTTAAAAGAGGGTAATACATAGTTGCCAATGTGTTGCGTGATGATATGATGAGCTTTGTCATTTGTGACGTCGTCTCTGTATGATAGTAAGAAATAACTGGGTGAAACAAATATTTTTTATACGAACGCTTGTCATTTCTTCTTTTAGTTGATGCTAAGGGTGTTGTTGTCACGTCCGCCTATAGCCTTGTATACTACCAATGATGTCTAATACAGATGTTCCTCGATATCATATTGTCTAGCACTGCCACTTCTATCAAAATAATTACCATAAACAACACAATGAACAACTTATTGTCGGGCATGTTTGGCTCTATCTCAACAGCGTCCTGCTACAGAGTTACATCAACATATAACGAAGTAGAGAAATGGAATTCTTTCTTCTGAAATATACAAATCACATCGTCTCCATCAATATAATGTTTGTCTTACAGCCAGAAGACCAACAAGTTGAATGGTTAACCACATAAGATTTCAATTTCCCATAAATTCTGTTCGCAAACTTTTTCTGTGAGTGACAATGTCATTTGTGAATTTTAATGGAAAGATTTACATTATTTCTCATTATATACTGATGTGTGTCCGCTCTATGGCTAGGTGCTGCAAACATTCTTTGTAACTGTGTGTGCTGGGTTCGATCCCAGCTATGGGAAACCTGGCAGCAGACCATATTGTGCAGGCTTCAACAGTGTTATAGAAAGCCGACCATTTAGGAAAAAAATGGCAAAACTGCTGGGGTTGGTTCTGCAATGTCCTGTAAAGGATACACAGCTTTAAATATGATGATGTTACTCTACAGTAATGCACTTGATGAGATGCAGCAAAATATGTCAGGCATTAAATTGTGCACAATATTGTTTATGCTGGCATTTTTTAAATATTCTCATTAGGAAATCACTGTTTTGATGGTCAAACTGTTGTTTGGTCACCATTTAGGGAATATCTATTTCCCAAAAATCTCTATTAAACATTATGTTGTCAATTTTACTGTTGTTCTCTATGATTGCAAAATCATGGTCAGAAACTGACCTCACCATAAATTATCAAACACTATGATTTACAGTTTACACGATGTTTGTTTTAAGATTTTTTATTTTTGTTCAAGTTTAAGTTTTAGTTCTTATTTTCTTTGGGGCCATGTATTCTTCATTATCCGAGTCACGATCACTTTCTTCTGTATTCAGTGGATCAAAGCCTTTGTGTGAGTTACCCAGGATCCCTTGCAGGCTGAATACTCGTTTCTTGCTACGGCCACAACATTTCAATTTTCCTGCAGAAAGATTAAAAAATGAACATACTTGAAAACATACTCATAACTTGTTAATTAATTTTTTGCAAGTGCTTTTTTTTTTCTGCCTTTATTTCCCAGTTGTCTACCTACCTGGCTTTTGGGCCTTCTGCTTTGTGTGTTGCCTATAATTTTGGATATAGTTGTTTCTCTGTGTTATGATGCTAAATTGTCTCTTAGTTTCCCCTGCCTCTCTTTCCCTCAATAATCTTTCCCGGATTCTATGAAAGATGGGCCATGACCCCGTTGGAATTCCAGAAAAATCATTTACAAAAAAAAAATATATAATTTTACACAGGTCACTAATAAATCTGTGAGAAATTCATTTAGGTACACTGAACTTTTTAAACGTAATTTTGTTTTAAGTTGTCAGAGCATTAGTCTATCTCACATGAATGTAATAAAAACATGTAAACCAACTTAAAGTTGTCAGAGCATTAGTCTATCTCACATAAATGTAACAAAAAAATGTAAACCAACTTAAAGATGTCAGAGCATTAGTCTATCTCACATAAATGTAATAAAAACATGTAAACCAGCTTAAAGTTGTCAGAGCATTAGTCTATCTCACAAGAATGTAATAAAAACATGTAAACCAACTTAAAGTTGTCAGAGCATTAGTCTATCTCACAAGAATGTAATAAAAACATGTAAACCAACTTAAAGTTGTCAGAGCATTAGTCTATCTCACAAGAATGTAATAAAAACATGTAAACCAACTTAAAGTTGTCAGAGCATTAGTCTATCTCACAAGAATGTAATAAAAACATGTAAACCAACTTAAAGTTGTCAGAGCATTAGTCTAACTTACGTGAACAAAACAGCTTTCTTAAACTAAATTGTCAAAGGTGTCTTCTTCCTCTCGCTCACCGGCTGTAGACTCTGGCAGAAGTTACTGGTTGTTCATCCACCTCTGGACTTAAGTCTCATTCGAGAACCTGAGTGTTGTGTGCATATCTGTTTTACCGATCTGACTTGTTTGTATGCAGACTGTTGGTTCCTTGCCTCTCAGGCAGACACACTCTTCAACTTTGAAGCAAGCCCCCCTCCCCCCAATTGACTCTTATGACACACTTGAGCAAAGGTGTCTGATGACTGAGTATTAGATTACCTCACCTACAAAATTAACTTAGTATCATTCTATCTCACCTGAGTGGCGGGCCCGGACAAGCAAGATGATGATCAACAACAGGATAACAGGGATAACAAGCAGACAACCGATCAAAACTGCAGGGCTTATGTCACTTTTCTCACTCTCGGTCTCTTTGCTGATGACTATAGATGACTTGTTCTGAGCTGTTTCAGAAACCTGCTTGACTGCTTCTCCCTGTTTTTTGCTAGAGTCAGTTGTACGCTCTTCTACATTGTTTTCTGTATATAAAATAATAATAAAAAGGGGATGAACAAAATCGAATTGGGTCTCTGGAAATGTGGGTATACAGAAGAATAGGTCAAATTTCATGGAAACAAAAACAGTCCAAAACAGAGTTCTGGAAAGGCTACAAATAAAAAGTGAATTGCTAAAAAAAAAAAAAAAAAAACCACAATTAAAATACTTTGGCTCCATTAAAAGACATAACACACTTGTAAAAACCATACTGGATGGAAAGGTCAAGTCAAGACAGCAAGAGGTAGGCAACGATTCAAATGAAAGGATGACATCAAGAGATGGATGGACAGCAGTCTGAGACAGTGTACAACCAAGACAAGAGACAGAGCATACTAGGGATCCATTGCAGCCAACCTTCATTGTGGAGACAGCACCCGATTGACTGACTGAAGTACACTATGTAGATTACCATGAACTATATAAAAATCGTCAGCTCTGTGGCTAAGTGATGCGAACGCTTTGTAATGCCAGGTTCGATCCCAGCTGCGGGGCATGTGCCTTTCGTTGGTTTCGACAGTGGTATCAAGAAAGCCGACCGTCCAGAAAGCAATGGCAAACTACTGGACGTAAATTTGTGTAGAAAAACCACACAACAGCCAGGAGCTGTTGGTTCTGCAACGTCCTGTAAAGGATACACAACTAACCTATATAAAAATAAGGATGCTAAGTTGAAAGGATCGGCTTCACTGCACTGGATTTGATCCTATAAAGCTTGATCTCTCTATGCAGAATGGGCAGCCACCTGCTGAAACTATCACAGATAGCACAAAATCTGTAGCACTGTTGATGATCTCCAGTGATCTCCATAAAAAACTCATGAAATGAACAATGCGGTCTGTGAAATCAACCATGAAATGACCTTTAGAGTGTTTTGGCAAATGGCTTGACCACTTCACCATAAAGACCACCTTATATTTTACTCTTTCACTCCCACAAGGTCCTAGATAAAGTCTGAGGGATGGCAATAATAAACTCAAGCGTATACTTTTTCCTGAGGGACCAAATATACAAATCGTGCAGGAAAACAAATATGGTGTCAGAGTTTTTCAGAATCCCTCTAAACACAAGATGAAAAAATATATAACAAGATGTAAAAACATACATAACAAGATGTCTGGTACACATGAATAATGCCCAGTCAGACAGTGTGTGTTGTTGGGGAACCAGTTTATATTCCATAAGGTCTGCTTTCTCCCTGCACAGCAGCTGAGAGCATAGCAAAGACATGAAACTCTGTAGCTCCAGTTAGTTAGTTAGTTAGTCATTATGGTTCCAGCATCACAGCAAACGAGCTTGGCCCATAACTGCTCAACCGCCTATGCCATTGATTCCAGTCACAAACTGAGTCCGATACGCTGGATACTTCAAGTGAATGCCGTAGCCATACAAAGTGTCCTCAGTCAGCAAAACACAGACAATATGATCTGGCAAACCATACGGTGCATGCCTCCTTAAACACACTGCGAGACCAGGCGTTATCGCTGAAAATCAACTTCAGTCGACGAATCGCTGGGCGATGATTAGATTAAAACAATTCCTGACCATTCTCCACACGTCCTCGGCCAAGTAAATAGCAGCTATAGCACAGGTCTTGTCCCAGAAACACAACGAACAAAAATACATCAACCATCATTGCCATTACGTACGAATCTGGAACTCAGTCAATAATTGGTAATCACAGCTCAGTGCCGCCAGTAGCACTAAACTCAGTAGCTCCGGCTGCAAACCGGACTTTCACAATCTTGCAACATCGAAAGTGGAGGAGAAACGGCGACGAGAACGGTCAACATAAGCCAAGTTCTCAACTGTCATCCATTCACTATTAAGGTCGGAGACGGAAGGCCTCTGTAGCTCCAGTGTCAACACCAATGGTCCCTGAAAGATCTGCACTTGCAAATTGACTGACAAAATTAGAACCTTAACTCACAACTTTCAGATCATGAGGCAGCTTCCCATCTGTCTGTGTTGTTGACGCCTAAGGATTTGAATGCAGTATTAAGGGTGTACATGTGTTATTTCTAGCTGCATATAGTTCACCACAAAACATTTTCTTTAGATGCTGGTAGCCTGGCATCCAAATTAGGTGACTAATGGCCCCATTTAGGGGAAGTGGGGCAGACACACTGAATCCCTAACAGGCAAGCTGTAAAAGCCGACTAATTAGCGGTGTTTCCTTTAAAGGCAGAGTGCATCTGCCTGAAAGACAAGAAACCAACAGTCTGCAAACAAATAAACCAGATATGTAAAATGGATGTGCATGCAAAACTCAAGTTCTGGAGCTGACCTAAAGACCAGAAGTGGACAAACAACGAGAACTGTAGACCAAAATTGACAGCAGGTGACCACTAAGAAAACCTATTCCTTACCAGTATGGTCTGAATAATTTGGCTTCTTATGAATGTGTACATGTACAGGTGTAGTGGACTCAGCAGTGGGTAGTTGCCTGGACAATTTCCACACAGCCTGAGGATTCAGCTCTCCAACATACACTGACTGACTACCTGTATGTATGCACACATCATGCGGGTTGTGAAGATGCTGTAGAGGAAGAAAAAGACATTTTAACACTTCTGTCTTGGTAACATTAATCAAAAAGAAAACAAATGAGCCATGACCCTATGGGAATTCAATAAAGAAATCCTTAAAACAACAATGTTACGCAGGTATATTTAATGGTATGAGGGCCCCTTCAAATGCTATTTTTAGTTAATATATTAACGTCCTGACATCATAAAGGTTTGCGCAGGCGTGAATTTGGCAATAGCATTAATTATACATCTCATAAACAGGTCACTGTCGACAAGCCAGATTAGTGACATTTATGAGGAGCTGACCCAGTCAGAAGTGTTGGTTTTGTGCCTTCTCGAGGTGACAGCGTGAAATGTTTCCTCAGAAATAATGCTAATCAACTCATTTAATATCAAGACCTCCCCATGTGTCTGTTAGGTTATATTTACAATTTACATTTTTCTTAACACTTTTAGTAAAAGACTGTTTTATCTGACTACCCAAAATAATTGTTACTTTAAACTATTAAATATTGGGTCTTATGATTTCAAGTAATAATCCTATTGAATGTTAATGAGTTAATGAGTAAATGGGGTTGTGTGGCATTAGCATAAAATTTGGTCAAGATATAGTTACAAAAAACATATGACTAAAGGCAAGACAATGAATGTAAAACAAAATACTTGGCACAGAATGAGTTAACTCCTGATGTCACATTCAGTTACTGAACTAACCCACACTACCTCGACCATCATTCAACTCCTTCGATCTGATAATATTATTATTTTAACACACTGTGACCCAAACATAAAGTACACATTTTCTTAGAAAGAATGAATTAAATCAAATCTGCCTGGTGATGAAAATTTAAGGTACTTCAATCACATATAGCAGGGAAGGCTAACCCAGTCAACAAATGCTCGCAGAAGTCAGATGTTTTGGCCAAAATATCCCATCCATGATATAAACAGACACAATTACACTATCGGATGAACGCAGAAATAGAACTAGAAGAAGAATCACATAAAGAGAGACAACTATAACCAAAACTGAATCAACAGCAGTGATAACTTTTGGGTTGCAGATTCAGTCTAATGAAAATGCTATAGCAAGGTTTGAATTATATAATAAAATAAAATCCCTCCGGGTCTGCAGTCTGTAGAATTAATATCTCAAGGATGAGAATTCATCAGGTACAAATGCTCGGAAACCACATTAAACCGTATAGCCATATAACAGTTATACAGGGGAATTGCAAAACAACAACACAGTAATGTATAGTCCAACAAGGGTGATTTTCGCCGTAGTTGAATTAGATGTATGCTAGCTTTTTTTTAAAAATACACTTAGTATGGTTAACTGGCCAATTTATAGATAGAAAAACAAAAGAAACATAACAAAATGTTAAAATTACATGAGGAATTAGATTTATCATGATAATCTTCTTCGCCTTTTCTTTTACCGCACTCAGTGGATGAAGATTTTAGGTTCTGCTTCTTGCTCTACTGGCTGCCTTGATCATAGCCACATTGTTCTGTTGTAGTTTCTTTGATGTCATCCTTCCATTTTGTTCTTGGTCTAACTCTTGCACCATATCCTTGTCCTCTTTCTGTGTAGGCTTTGGTATGGCATAACAAGGTATTCTCTCTAAATGGGAGAAATCATCCTCTTTACTTCCCAGGACATTTTAGTAGCCGCAATGGTGTCATGGTTAGATGCTCACCTCAGGCCCAAAGGTTGTAGCTTTAAATCCGCACAGAGCCGGGTTAAAAAATAAAATTACCTAAGATTCCAGGCTGACCCAGCTAAAAATGGGTACAAAGTAAAGTCCTGGGACGTAAAGGCAGCTGGCATGATGCTAACCATATCACCACCCGAGTGCTGTTTGGTTTCTAACATATAAGTCTAGCATTATAAGCCCCTTCGTAATGCCTTGGTGCCGGGTTCGATTCCAGCTGCGGGGCATGCGCCTTGCATTGGTTTTGACAGTGGTATCGAGAAGCCGACCGTCCAGAAAGCAATAGCAAACTACTGGATGTAAATTTGCCTAGGACATTGCAGAACCATCACCAGCATTGGCTGTTGTGGTTTTTCTAGGCAAATTTACATCCAGTAGTTTGCTTTTGCTTTCTGGACGGTCGGCCCCCTGATACCACTGTCGAAACCAATGCAAGGCGCATGCCCCGCAGCTGGAATCGAACCCGGCACCCGGCATTACGAAGCGTTCGCATCGACTTAGCCACAGAGCGGACTATTTTACGTATAACAACACATAAAAGCATTATATCATACCTGAGGAATGTTCCAGGTTTCCAAAAGGGCACCTGTTTTGATGTCCAAGGTAAAGCCTTGTACAGAAATGTCTGTGGGCCCACTAAATGATGGTCCATTGACAGCATATAAAACACCACCTACAAGTAAAGAAACCAGTCTCATCATATCTCACATGCCATATAATAACTCATCTGGATGGCCTCCTCAATGCAGAAGTATCTAACCCATGCGCTGAGACTGAATGCAGCCAGCTCATTCAATCATTGGGTTGTCTGGCCAAAGATAGATATACTATTGTACCAGTGACCAAGGCTTTCATCCTAGAGAAAAGCTGTCAGGACTCATCATAAGATGTCTTGAAAAGGAGCCAGTAATCACCACAAAGTGTCTGTAATTACAGCAGTGCTGAAAAACATGATGCCTTAAAAAATAAAAAATGATAGTACTGTGTACCGTTACACACACAAAAAAAGTAAAAGTAAAGATCTATTTTCTCACCTTTAGGTGCATCGATCATATGGGAAGAGCTTCCATATTTTTACAGACCAATCGGCACTAGGTGGGTAATGTGGTGAGCATTACGCCTGCCATCTTTACTTCCCCAGGACATATATCCTGGTACCCATTTTAGACAGGGTCGACCTGCGACACCCCATAACATGATAAAAAATCCATGCAGCCAGCAGTGGGTTTCAATTGCGGTATGTTGGAATTACAAGTCGGACTCGTAAAACCTAAGCCACGGACGCTGGGTGTACGGTTGCATACCGCCAGAAAAAAGCCCTCTAGTGATTCAAGCCAATATTCACTAAAAGGTCAAGCAGCTGAATATTTCTAGTTAATTACGTAAAGAAAACTTGTGTTCACTGATGCACCTCCTTTGTCATCTTTGACTGAGAAGTAATGAACCAACGGTCTGCATAAAAATAACTCAGATCTGTAAAACAGATATGCGTGCAACACTCAGATTCTGGAAGAAGACTTAAGTCCGAAAATGGACAAATAACCAGAACTTTCTGCCAGAGCTTACAGCCTGTGAATATGAAAAAGAAGAATAAGAAGAATATACACAAGCCACAAAGTTACTGTCTGCATCTTTAAGGGACATGATCAGCCAAGTATAACAGACACTAACTTAGTGGCTATTTGTACTAATATTATCCCTGATTTTAACTTATTAAACAAACATCTGGTCATGTGATGCACAGACATGGAACACTATGATGATTGGACAGATCAACAGCTGAAAAGGAAGACGGTGACTCAGAGAGATGATGCTAGATAGTCTAAGGAGGCAATAAGGAGGACTATCAGCATGGTTATTGATCAAAGTCAGCGTCTTTGGTTTAGTCACTGCGAACGCGCTTCATAATGGTGGGGTTTCAGGTTTGATCCCAGCTGCAGACGATTTGTCTTGCACTGCTATCAACAGTGGTACTGATAGCTGACCGGTCAGAAAGCAATGGCAAATTACTGAACGTAAAATTTGTCTAGAAAAACCCCAAAAATGCTTGGGTGGGTTCTGCAATGTCCTGTAAAGGATACATAACTAACTTTAACTGATCAAAAATATTCAAGGAGTGAGAGATGTATAGAAACATTAACGCCTAGTATATCTGACAAGGCGTACAATAATGATTTGTTCACTTTTTTCAATCCTTGGAGGTTATTTTGTAGCTGATGCCCAATGAGGTATATAATCACCATTACAAATTGCAAGTGTTAAAAGAGGCTAAATATACAGTGAATAGGAAAGCCAGATTTCTTCAGTATTCTCTGACCAAATGTTAAAAAAAGGGTCTCAAACAACACAAAAAGGGGCATAGTTAGGAATACCATCATTAGATAGAAAGTTGGAATAAGACAGCGTCTGAATTATATTGACAGACAAAGAATGAAAGGTTTCAGCCATATATATAGAATGCAATCAAACCAAACTGCATATGTGATTTGTTACAGCAGAATATCTGGGAGGAAGGCAAGGGAAAGACCAAGAAAGAGAGAGATAAAATGTGCAGCTAAAATCATTGCCTGTTGCATCTTTGGTACGCCGCAAAATCACCATGAAGCCTTCGCCGCACCTCACACTGGTGCCTTTCTGCATTTAAGATGCAGATGTGTTATAAGAGGGGCGGCTGACCGAATGGTTAGAATGTTGGGCTCTCAAGCGGGAAACCCAAGGTCAAATCCTCAGTAAGGTTGGAGATTTTTTTCTGTCGGGGACAAAAATAAAATCTTTACCTGCACAATCAGTGGCAGCAGCACTATCCATGTGGCCCTAAATCCTCAAACTTACAGCCCCGCCCAAAACACAGAAGTAGTAAATAAAGGAAGTAATTGTTTTTTTCTTCCCTCAGTGTTATAAAAAGCTGTAGGACTCAGCGTTATAAAATGCTGTAGGAACACCCTCTTCATAGATGAGCACGATTCAGCCTGTAGATACCATATGTTGTCCATGCAGCATGATGCCTCCCTCCACCTGCCTTGTTTACTGCAAAGGAAAGGTACACCAATATATCTGGAACAAAGGATTTTGCAAAAGCTGCAGGAGCAGAAAAGCAGTGTTCTATCAGTTTCCATCTTCCCTCCTAGACCAGCTGCCAACCAAGGCTAAATGTACAGAACACATGAATATGCTCTAACTTGGCAATTCAACAATAAAGTTATCAAAGTTCCCAATGAGCTCTTACCCTGAACAGGAGACTGTTCAATAGCAAAAAGCCGGTTCCCAAATTCAGGATGTTTGATGATGTGCTTGAAATTACCATCCAAGTCAAAACATTGTATCCGCCCATTTTCTCTGTCAGCCACACAGACCAGATTGTTCTCTTCTGATACGGTAACGCTATGAGAGATGTCAAATGATCCAATCGGGGGAGGGTTGGCTGCAATAAAAAATTTGCATAAATTATCAGTAGTCAATGCATATTATATATAATACACACATACATGCACTCACACGTGCACTCACTCACACACACGCATATATATATATATTATGCACATCGTTATATGAACACTCATGCTTTATTGATAAAATACAATTTCCATGTGAAAGATGAGTGTTTAAAATGGTTGAATTTAAGATGGGCCTGCGTGCCCAATTTTGAATATAAAGTTTGTTCATTCCTCCCTGTCCCATGTATGTCATATCAAATTATTTACTTAAAAAAAACAACAACCTTTCCTACCAGCAAAGTCTTGTCTCTCTCCCCAAGCTCTAATTAACGTTCCATTCCGAGCAAATTTCAATACTCGACCATTGCAGTAGCTGAAAGTAGATATAAAAGAATGCTGATAAAATTAAGAATATGTTATCAGTAAGCACTCCAAAAGTGCAAGTGTTTTGATCTCCTTAATAGCTCGACAAGCATAAAATGACTGCTTAAGAATGTTCTGTGTTGATTAATCAAATGACTATTAAAGATTATGTTTGATCAGGCAGCAATCACTTAATTATGAATCCTCTGAGCTGTAACTCTTCAATGCTTAACAGCTCACCTTGTGTTTACTGAAGACATGCTTTTTTAAACAGCTTATTTCTCAACCAGTTAGCACACTAACCTACACTATCTAACTTAGAATAATTCTTTGAATACCACAGACCAAAAAAGAAGAAAAACACCAACATCCGGCATCATCTGAACATTGAGCACAATTGGCTCATAATCAGCATCTTGCCATGAAAGCTGAGGTATTTTGGTCATGTTAAACATCACATTGGTTTGGAGAGAATGGTGAAGGAGGACAGTTTTATATAACAAGGTCGAGGCAGACCTCCCTCATAGTGGATACTAGACATTAAAGATGCACTGGCATGAATGCACATACAGCTGGAGGACTGGCTAGAGAAATAATGTCTTTCAAGCGTGCCATGATGACAGCAACGTTCTGTAAAGGACCTGCCGGCTGATGATGATCTTTTATTTTTTCTCTGAGTGTTGAATTGAGAATTGACATCACAGCACTCAGGACACTCCTATAAGTGCTCAGTCCCCATCTTCAGCAGCAAGCAGAGAGTTCCAATTCCGATGGTACCAGTAACCGCCTGATTGTATATCCGTCTCATCCTTCCTCTGAGTGTTGAGCGTTATTTTATCTCTTTCAGTCCCAAACAACACATGACGTGTTACTGGCTCAACTCTTGAATTTCAAGAGTCCAGTCATTTGTTGTCTAACTTTTAAACTTTTGATCATACTAAATACATCTGGCTTTCTCAATGGCCACTGGCATTGTGTATATAAAATCCCTGAAAACAAAGCACTCTTGGTAGGTTAATTGTTAAAAAAAAAAAAGAACTCTTGATTTTATCAGTAGTTGCCACTTTAGACATTTGCTTGCCAAACTTTCAGGGACTGAAAGAGTCAGTTTTATTTTATAGTGTTATATCTGAACCCTTTCAGAACCAGACACATGTTAAAATAAGTAAGTACATGCTAAGGAAAGGAAAGATTATAGTAAAATCTGTCTAGAACAGAAAGAGCAGTCCGCTGAATTGATGTGCAGATCGTCTAATCTCTGGAAAAAGGTTTGAATTTTTTGGAGTAAAGTCATTCAGATATGTTCCTCTCAACCAGTAGTTTGGCATCCTGTCTATAGAAGCCATGAGGCAGAGGAACCAATAGTCTGGATACAAGTAAGCCGGATCTGTAAAGAAAAACATGAATATAATTAGCTTAGCAAAATTATTACTGCATTTACAATAACATGTCTTACCCATCTGAGACAAAGAACTCTCCCGAAGAAAGAACAGCCACATCTGTAGGTTTACAGAAAGAAGTCAAGTCCGAACCGTGTTGGAATCTGTGTCCAAGAACCAAACTAGGTGATGTTTCTCCTTGAGGAATTTTAAAAACCTGAGGAAGTTAATCAGAAATAATAGATTTTTTGGCTCAAAAGCAGAATGTTACAACATGTAATCTGGATGTTAGCTGTCAAAGATACAGTTGGAAAATAACTATAAAATTTGTGAGTTCCAATCAAAATATCAAACCTCTACTGACAAAATTAGCCTTTCCAGATCACTGCACTGACAAGGTTGAAAGGACGAAATATTTGGTCACCCTAACTTGGCCTGCCCACTAGAGAAGATGAATATAACAAGCAAAAAGTCTATGTGCCAATTAGCTCAGACAAACCCAATCTTCCAAGTTATCCCCCAATCACCTTTATCTACTGCTCCTCAGTAGGTATTAATCTCACAGTCTTCCTCTCCAGCTTTTCTTATCAAGTCCGCTGTTACCTAGTTTTCAAGTTTATTTCTCTTCTTCTTCTTCTCCTCTTCCACCTTGTAGCTCAGCGAAGTGTCTGGGGCAGATGTAACATTGATAAGTTGTCAAGAGCACTATTAAGACTGATGTTCATTTCTGTAAGGCTGTTCTTAATGCCATCACTCCATATTTTCCAAAGTCATCCACTCCTTCTATACCCACTGTAACGTTTTAGTGTTGCTCGCTGTGGCAGATAGTACCAGGGCATTCTTGTAAGGTGTCCAAACCACTTCATTTGCTTGTCCTTTGATGACTTGTAAGAGTGGCTTTATTCTCTAGCATGTCTAATAAATCTTGACTGTCTATATATAACTTATCTAATCAACATACAGTTTCATGGAGGATTTTCTCATTTGGTTCTCTGTCAGTTCATGATATTCTACGCATTTCATTTTCAAAAACCACATCTGCACTGCCATCAGCTGATTCTCAGCTGGACTGTTTATTGTCCTAATTTTACTAATTATAATAAACATCTGGGAGCCGTCGTGGTCTAGTGGCTAGACGCTGGCCTGCAGATCGGAAGGTCCTGGGTTCAGGTCCTGACGGGGGCAGGACTTCTTTCAAAAATGACCTTGCCTCCAGCCTTGAGTGGGTGCCAGGTACAGTCCTGGGAAGTAAAGGTGGCTGGCATGATGCTGACCACATCACCCACGAAGTGCTGTTGGGTCTACAAATTACAGGTCTAGCCCTATACACCCAGTATGCCTGGAGGCAAGGAAAGGGATCCTTTACTTGTTACTTTAATATATAACATCTTTCTCTCACTTACTCTCTCAAGCATATACATTATGGACACATACATGTGCAAAGGAAACTTTTATTGTGTGTTTTCTTCGAGTGAGTTTCAGAGTACTATTCTGTGGTTAAAAGCCTATGATCCATTGTCAAGCATGCTGTAAAAGACAACATCTTCAGCAGCAAATGAAGAGTTCCAATTCCGATGGCACCAGTAACTGTCTGATTGTATATCCGTCTTGCTCTTCCTTTGAGTGTTGAGTGTCAGCCAGATCCCCTGGTAACTCCTTGCAGCGCCATTATCCTGAGACCGCAATATTCTATTTGCTCTTCCACACTGTTCACTCGCTCATTCACACAGAATGTCGCACAGTAAATATGGCATCTGAACTTAAGTGTAAAATGATTTAAAGCACCAATTTTAAAACAAATTTAAAAAGAAAAAGAAAAAAAAGCATACCTGGTGCAATGCAACATCTGTGAGCCAGATATTTCCTTCCTGATCAACTTCAATTCCATGAGGCATAAAGTATCTATCAAACAAAAGCAAGTTTTTATCAAGAGTATGATTATCATCTTAATAGCTCAACAAATGCTCATACTGAGTATAGAACACATAATTTTCTTGTCTGAGGCTGGGTTAACCTGGGAGCCAAAGGTTTCAGGCTGGTAATTAAAAACAAACTGCCAATAGCTATCTTTATTACCACTTTTTCGGTGTAGGCAAGGGGGGGGGGGGGGGGTAATTTGGGCCTGAGGATTTACGACCGCATGGCTAGTGCTGTTGCCATGACTGTGCAGGTGAGGATTTTATTTTGCCCCTGACTGAAAAAAAATCTCCAGCCTTATTGAGAATTCGAACCCAGGTCTTCCAGGTTGGTAATTACTGGTATATTAAAGATAGTTCTTAAATACACAAAATCAATTGCCTAATCACATCCATCAATCTGCTTCTGTTCTTACATACACCTGTTCTTACACACACCTGTTCAAACACAAACCTGTTCTTACACACACTTGTTCTTACACACACCTGTTCTTACACACACTTGTTCTTACCCACACTTGTTCAAACACAAAACTGTTCTTACACACACCTGTTCTTACAAACACCTGTTCAAACACAAACCTGTTTAAACACAAACCTGTTCTTACACACACCTGTTCTTACACACACTTGTTCAAACACAAAACTGTTCTTACACACACCTGTTCTTACACACACTTGTTCAAATACACACCTGTTTTTACATACACCTGTTCTTACATACACCTGTTCTTATATACACCTGTTCTTACACACACCTGTTCTTACACACACTTGTTCAAACACAAACCTGTTCTTACACACACCTGTTCTTACACAAAACTGTTCTTACACACACCTGTTCTTACACACACGTGTTCTTACACACACCTGTTCTTACATACACCTGTTCTTACATACACCTGTTCTCACACAAACACAGACTTACTGTCCAGCCCCAAATTTGCGCACTAGATGTCCTTGACTGTTAAGTACCACAATAACATCCTCTTGAATGGGAGAGTTCGGATCCATAAAATCATTGTCAAGAGAAAAAGACCTGGAACCAAATAATATAGTAGTAATTTAGCAGTAAACTCAGAAACAGTCACTACAAGAAAACACAGAAATAGTAACCACAAGAAAACACAGAAACAGTCACCACAAGAAAACATAGAAATAGTCGCCACAAGAAAACACAGAAATAGTCACCACAAGAAAACTCAGAAACAGTCACCACAAGAAAACACAGAAACAGTCACCACAAGAAAACACAGAATTAGTCACCACAAGAAAACACAGAAACAGTCACCACAAGAAAACACAGCAACAGTCACTACAAGAAAACACAGAATTAGTCACCACAAGAAAACACAGAAACAGTCACCACAAGAAAACACAGAAATAGTCACCACAAGAAAACACAGAAACAGTCACCACAAGAAAACACAGAAATAGTCACCACAAGAAAACTCAGAAACAGTCACTACAAGAAAACACAGAATTAGTCACCACAAGAAAACACAGAAACAGTCACCACTAGAAAACACAGAAATAGTCACCACAATAAAACACAATTATATGACAATGTCAATTAAGAAGTTGGTAGTCTGAAAATAGTCGGCACCTTTAGCTTAGACCAGAGGTTCTCGAACTGGGGTGCCGCGAGAGTATGCAGGGGTGCTGTGGCAATAATAACGAAAATTCGGCTAGAAATTTTGAAATTTTTAAAGAAAGCATGCTGATGCGCAAAAGTTAAAATTTAAGTTTTTCTCTCATCACTATTGTAAAGAGTTTAATATTTGTTTTACACTAAGAATTGTTTTTGTATTTATCTCGAGGTGCGAAATATCCTCTACCTGAATTGGTTAAGGTGCAGTCGATAAGTAAAGTTGTGGCTAAATTGTGAATGAAATTTTAAGGTTGAAAATTTGGTCTGTATAATAGTAACTGTTAGCCTTATCAAGTAAGTACTTATTTATATGAAATATGTTCTATTGGAATGGGGGTGGGTGTGGGGATGTGTGTGTGCGTGCGCGTGTGTGCGTGCAAGTGTGTGCGTGCGTGCGTACGCGTGTGTGGGTGGGGGTATGATCATGCAATTTTCATTCCAAATCAGATGTGAAGATATTGCTAGCGAGAATATAAAGGTGTATAAAGGCTGAATAAATGAGGAAGGAAAGGCAAATTTAGTTGCATTCGTTCGTGTCATCGCATTAAAGACAACTGAACAGTAAATTTGCACTTTGAACAAAATTATTTTTTCTAAGTATTGTTGTTAGTGTTGTTATCGATCCAGCCAGCTTTTTCCCTTTGACTCAATACCATGTAGTAAAATTTACATGTTTTCAAAAGCTGTTCTTTTCCTCCGTACAAGGTGTCCCACCTGTCTGGTCTTGGAGGGAGTGGTATTCTTCTAGTCTTGTTGAGTTTTGGGCACTCAAATAGACGTTGGTCAACAGTTTCGTAGCTAGTACCCTGGGGAATGTTGTGGCTGTGTTCTGTTTACATTTTCTAAGTATTCAACTGGATCCAAGGATAGGTTGGCGCCCATTTTATTTAGCCTGACAAATGTGCCGCTGCGAAAAAAAGTTTGAGAACCCCTAGCTTAGAAGATGCAAACATGCTTCGTAACTCTGAGGTACCGGGTCCAGTCCCAGCAAACAGCCTTGAATTGGTTTCCACAGTGGTATCAAAAGCCAAATGTACAGACAGTAATGGGAAACTCATCATCATCATCATGTAGCAGGTCCTTTGCAGAACGTCGCTGTCATCATTGTCTGCCTGAAAGAAACTCAGTCCCTCGCCAGCTCTCGCCCCTCATATACTTTCATACTCAAGGAATCACTTATATCATGTGCCCATCTCCGTGCTAGTCTGGGAATTTGAACATAATCCGTTCTGAGATGACAATCAAATTGATTGTTCGAGTACCAAGACAATCTTCCCCGGTGAAAATAATGGAGATTCAATGAATTTGTTCCAGGGTCCGACAAACTAAAATTTCATAGCAATTTAACATACATAGATACCACATTCATGCTTAGCGATAAGATCTATTTTAACGGCAACTGCTGCTCTCACTGTTTTTCTCTTACTTTGTTTTTCAACACTACACTTGTTATCAAACCTAACTAATTCCCTAAATGTTTTAGAGAAAAATGAAAAAGCATTAATTAGTAAAATTAAATGCAAACATTGCATAATACTTCTGCAACTCAGTTACTCACTGTGCATTCCATTGTCTAGAACCTCGATGGAATATGTACACATTCCCATCTTTATCAGTGGCAACACCTCCAATCTGGCCAACCGCCAATTTTTCGCTTGGCCATGATGAGTTGAACTCCAGCTTGTGTTCAAAATGGATTCCTAAGGAGTTAATGAAACAATATTTCACCATTTCACAAGAAAGTATACTGAACATTGTTGAGAATGATTTTCTTTTCTTTATGTTTTTAACCTGAATAATATTTTGGTCCATTATATAAAAGTGTCGGCTCTGTGGCTAAGTCGATGTGAACACTTCGTTATGCCGGGGTGCCGGTTTGATCCCAGCTGCGGGCCATGCGCCTTCCGTTGGTTTCAACAATGGTATCAGGGGACCGACTGCCCAGAAAGCAATGGCAAACTACTGGACATAAATTTGCCTAGAAAAACCACACAACAGCCAGAGGCTGCTGGGGTTGGTTCTGCAACGTCCTGTAAAGGATATGCAACAACCTTATATACAAATAGCCTTATAAGCGCAAAAAACAAAAATGCAATTACAAAATTCCTTAACTGCACTGTACTCAATAACTACTTATTTCATTTTGTGTGAAATACACACCAACATTAAAAAAGGAACAATGTTACAATAAGCACAACAATATAAATGAATATAAATTTGGATGAACATGTCACAACAGCTAATGTAACAGCTGCCATGCAGACAACATTAACAAAAAACAAGAAAAGAAAATGCACACAAAAGCTACAGTTTATAATATACAATTGTAGTACTGTTAGGTTATTGCCTTGTATACTACAACTGCAAAATAATCCCTACTAATGTACCACAAATTTGATTTTTTGAATGGTATCAAAAGTAAAGCATTTCTACAGTAAATGTAGGCTACAGAAACAGCAGCACAAGTTAGCATAAAATGTATTTTTGTTTAAAAAAAGAATTACAACCACAGTAGTGTTCAGTAAATAACTTTGTGTGCAGTGTATGGCCCAAATGTAACAAATAACCCTGTTTGGTGATGACCATCAATGCCAAGAGGCGTACTGAGGCATAGTGAGGTGTAGCGACTTGCGAGGCATCTAGAAAAAAAAGCAGCTGAACAGCAAAGACAGGCTAGAAAGACTTGTATAACAGGTCTTTTAACTACAGACATTGTTCCCTGTTCTCATTGTCCTAGATCTTTCTGGACCTCTACTTGGCTTATAAGTCGCCTCTGAACTTACAGACAGTCAATAATAGTTTCATGACAGATGAAGAAAAACGAGTGGTCATCATTACTTGTGATGGATGAAAAACCAATGTCAACAAACATAACCAACAACACTGACTAGTGAACAAAAGTCCCACCATGTTTAGATAATAACACAGTAAATAACACTGTTAAGAACATGGCAGTATGTCCAATTTGAGGATACAGATATAATCCGTGCCACTGTCAGGTGTTTGCACCTTGCACAAAGAAAAAACATAATAAATAACTGCCTTCAGTGTCTTCGCCATCAAGTATAGCAAAGTAAAGTAAAGAAAAAAAAGTACAAATCCCTTGTCACGCCTTAGGTGCATAGGGCATATAGGAAGAGCATCCCATATTTTTACAGACCAATCGGCACTAGGTGGGTAATGTGGTTAGCATTATGCCAGCCATCATTACTTGCCTAGGACAGCCATCCTGGTACCTATTTTAGGCTGGGTCGAACTGCGACGCCCCATACCATGATAAAAATCCTTGCAGCCAGCAGAGGATTTCGATCGCGGTACACTGGAATTACGAGTTAAACACAACGCCTAAGCCACAAGCATAGCAAAAACACAACAAATGATGCTATTTACTTTTAACACCATGTGTATACACATGGTAAAAAAACATGATATTTATCATCATTCCCAGATGCAGACATTTAAAAAGACACTGTGTATTGTTTACGTGATATATCAGACACAGACATAAATGAAATTTTTGAGTGTTTGTACCATCTACAGAGACAATCACTGGTGTCATCAGTCACTACACACTGAGGGAAATACTAAGCAGATCACAGTACTTAAGCATAGAATCCCCCCTGTGGATTCTGGGGAAAACAAGAATTGCCAAAAAGCATGTTGTAAGAGTCGACTTATTGGCAGACTCCTTCAAAGTCAGAGTACATCTGCCTGAGGGGCAGGGAACCAACAGTCTGCATGTAAGTCAGACCTGTACATGCAACACTCAGGTTCTGGAAGAGGACTAGAGTCCAGAATTGGATGAACAACCAGAACTTTCCGCCAGCATTTGAATGCGAAGAAGAAGAAGAAGCATAGAATGATTTCCTATGTAGTGACGATGATCTACTGATAAAAAAACTACAAATACCACCATTACTAATACGGCTGTACAGTGTGCTGTGTTTTGCATGCACATCCATTTCACAGATCTAGCTGATTTGTATGCAGACTGTTGGTTCCTTGCCTCTCAGGCATATGCATTTCAACGCTCAAGGTAACACCTTTAATTAGTCATCTTTAGTGACTTGCTTGTCAGGAGGGCAGTAAACTAAAGTGCCCCAGGAGGGCACTACTCATTATCATCATCATGTGTCTTGCAAGCTGGTGTAGGTGCTCAGATCTCTCCACAGAACAAGGTCCTTGCTATTGTGAATAAATACCACTGATGATATTCCTCTATGCCATCCCTTCAGGCCATCAAGCATCATCTGTCTTGGTCTGTCTCTGCCTCTTTAACACTGATCTTTCAAGTCATCATGATGTTCACCAATACACTCTCCTCTCATTACATGACCAGAGAACACTTACTGCTTCTTTCTTTTAGTTGCATATAGTTTTCTTATTTAATTAACCATTTTCAGGTAGTTGTTTACTAATGAGAAACAATTCTATATGTGGTGAAATGGATTCATGCACCATAGGACAGACCACACAACTAACCAACAAAAACAACAACTAATTATGTGGAACTGTGGATACATAAACCACAACATCTAGCACAGATTTATTCACAACAGCATGCTAAGGGTGCAGCACACTCAAGGCAAACAGGGGAATGAGACAACATCAATTTAGTAAACCCTAAAAAAAAAAAAAAAAACATCGCACTATGATATAAAGATGTGTGCAGGTGGGGCATGAATTAAACAGTCACTGAGGTAGATTCACAGGGAAGAAAATACCATGGACGGTGTTCAGTGGAAGGAAAAATCAGGAACGAAATAGGAGTAAAGGAAAATGGTTGCAGAAAAGTTGGGAGCTGAGCGCTTGAGAAGAAGCGAAGCACATTAAAAACATGTGCTGGAAACCATAGCCCTGAAATCCCCTGCTCTAATTGTGAAAGTGTTTGCATAAAGCCGAGAGGTTTTGCTAGTTACCCTTGCATTGCCATGGGTGTGATTCCCATGCTTCAGCATCGCACAATTTAACACGCCCCCTAACTAGTTTCTAATGTTCGGAGGTACGATTAAACTATTCAGGGAAAGTTACTCTGGCGAAATCCTTTTAGTTTCATATCGTAGCCTAATCCAAACACGTGCGTAATTTGATAGAAATAACAGCAAAATTTTTTTCAACACTTAATTTTCTAAGTTCGTTTTTGAGTGCCATGAATACCAATGTTCCAACCACAAGTACAGGTCGCAGAATGCGTCTTTCTGTGGCTGAAGCTCTGAAATTGTTTCAGTCAGATGTTTTTAATTGTGATAATGATAATAAAAATTTAGATTTTTTGGAAAGTGATTCACAGGGTGAATTTTCACCAGCAAAGCTTAGCGATCAGCTGTTCGGAATCTAGCAATTCTGATGAGTTTATTACACAGACAATGTCCCATACTACTGTATTGGCAGGATACATGTGATCACTCTTTCAGGAATGCTGTGGTAGTGCTCTGTTAACTAGATACATGTATCAGGTTTGACAAATATGAAGCTATGCCCATAAACATCTGGTTTTTACAATGCTGGATTCATGACTTTAAACATAAGATTTGACAATCTTGAGCGTATGTCCATAAACATCAGGTCTAACAATGTTGGGCTCATGTGCATAAACAAAGGGTTTGACAATCTTGAGTTTATATTCATAAACATCAGTTATGACAATGTTCGGCTCATTTCCATAAACATCAGGTTTGACAATGAGCAGGTAAAGCCCATAAACAAAAAGTCTGACAATGAGGTTATATCCTCAAACATCCGTTAAAAAGGATGTCATCATATCCACAAATATAAAGTTTGACTATGATGAGGTCACATCCACAAACATTAGGTTTGGCAAGGACGATGCCATGTCTATAAACATCTGATCTAATACTGATGAGATTATTATATCAATAAACATCAGGTTTAACAAGGTTGGAGCCATGTGTAGAATCAACAGTGATATACAGATGAATATCAGATTTGACTGATGATCCTATGTTTATAAACTTTCATGACTACAGCTCCATTTGGGAGAACAAACAATAGACCCAATGCCCTCCTAACAAGCATGTCACTGGAGACGACCAATTAGGGGTGTTTCCTTCACAGTTGAAATGCATATGCCTGAGAGGCAAGGAACCAACAGTCTGCATACAAATAAGATGGATATGTAAAATGGATGTGCATGCAAAAACACAAGTTCTGGACCAAGACCAAAGTCCAGGAGTCGCTGATATACCAGGACTATCCACCAGAGTTAACAGCCGGTGAACACTAAGAAGATGTTCCACTGATGTTCTGCATCAATAAATATGTCAATAAAATTCTCTGGATCACAAAACAAATGAAATCTAGGTAACAACATCAAACATTCATGGCGGCTGAAACAAAATAGAACATGCAGATAAGAATACCCATTGAACTCACGACTAAATGCTCTGGCTTGTTGCTCTCCAGGCACATTTTTTTCTCCAGCTGTGCCTGAGTCAGTCAAAGAAGGCTCAGGATTTCTGTTTAGGGGTTTCCTTGAATCCAAACTGGGGCCTCCAGGAATATTAGCAAAATCTAACATCTGTTTACGTGGAAGCTCCAAGCGATGCTGTGCTGGTCTAACACGTTGATTCTTCCTTGGGAACTCTTGGATTTGCTGATTCATAGCCTCAAAGTTCTTGTTGCGATTCCGACTACGGCCTTCCTCTATAGTTACACCAGCGTGAGGTGGATACAATCCATTCTCTCTCAGATCATTGGCTGCATACTCATCA